GTTGACATGGATAAGTTGGAAAGGGAATTCGAGAGTCACCATTGAAACGAAGAGTGCTTATGAGATACTTAGATGACTACTTTGCACTTTGGTCACATAGTAAGGAAAATTTGGATGGATTCCTCAATTTCATTAATCAAATTGATGAATGAATTAAATTAACAATGGAAGTGGAGGAGGATGAGCGACTACTCATTTTGGATATTAAAGTGATGTGCCCCAACGGGACATTCATGAGGAGACTATATAGAAAGAAAGAGTAGTTTGATCATCAGAAGATTACGACTAACGGACATTGAGTTCTGGGACGAGGAGTTTGACAAACTGACACGGATTTGCCTTAGTAACGGGCACCCCATATAATTAAAATTATAAAATGTAGAGGCTATAAAAGGCAGATTTCAACTCGGATTTTATGAAAATTCGATCAGGAATCAGGAAGATGGTCAAAAGTGGATTCGCCTGCCCTCATATGAACTGAGCCATGCCGACTACGATACCGGCGAAACGTCTGGTAATGTACCATGTCCAGGGTCCGACTCTGGAAATGATGATACATACAATGGACTGCGGACTATGTGCGTTCCTTCAGGTCTTTCTATTGATATGACCAAGTTGCAAAAACAGGGTCAAACAACTCCTAAAAAAATAGGTTAGAATTGGCTCTCTTCCCCGTGGAGCTTAAGGCTGATGCAAGTCGATGAGACATCTATCTGCTGTCATTGGCATATCTTTCATTTCGTTAGAAAAGGCTAGTCGAAGGGATTTGTGAATTGGCCTCACCGTATACTGAGGGAGGGTTGCCCTGGACTTTTTCCGTTGAATTGTACGAAGAAGACCACCGGGGATTGATCGTGAATAATTGTTTCTAGCTCTGATGATGTTCGTCACAGGACGGACGAAGGCTCAGTATGGAGTTATCAGAGCTTTAGGACAGTAAGCCGAGGTTTTCTTAGCACAATTCGACAGACAAAAGTCCAATACAACCCCATTTAGATATCCGATGAGGCCAATTTACGGACACCTTCCACCCGCCTTCTTAAACTAAATGAACGGTATGCCAGTATAGAACTAGTAAGTGATTCTTCAAAATCCGGCTTCTCCTTTTCTCTCTCTGTTGTATCCCTTGCAGACGCTACGTTTATGTAACTGTGGTGGTGCATTTGTTGCTATAACTTGAATGACCACGAATTTTGAGTCGGAGGATCGGATGGGTGCAACATCGACAACCCAATCCATTCAATACACGTGATCTCGATCAGGCTAGCTCAAGCCTGGTTGTGGTCACCCTCAGAGACCCTAGAGTCACCTCCCTTTGAGCTAAGCGGCCAGTTAGCATGGATGGTGGGCTTGCCAACCCCACCCTTATGTGACACCTCACCACCTATCACTTGTGCGCCCCTCCTTCGACCACTCTTGACGCTCTTCCTCCCACTCAAAAGAGCGGATCTACAAGCTCCCAACGGACAATTTAGATTTGGGTGCAAAGGGAGTATGCGACTAACCGAGGGAAAGAAGCACCGAAGAAGTGAAGTAGAGCAGAAGAGAAGAAGATGAGTTGAGGCGGCTATAAGCGGTCGGGTTGGCAGTGACGGGCAATCAGCAGAGCTGGGACAGGTCAGGACCTGCATTCATCACATGCGTATCTCTTTGTGTAGGGGTTCACCACCACCGACTCACTATGGGAAAGATTTTTCCATTGAGCAGACTGT